ATATTCGAAGAATGTCTGTTTTAACAGTATATAATTGTCAGGTTTTCAGCTGAAACCATAATATTAAAAACCACCCCAAATCGCCAAATATGGTCATTTTTCGGAAATTATGTTACCACTAAATATTGTTTGGATATTTATAAGGAAATTTGAAATTCCTCAACTTTTTTATTTTGTGATTACGTGCCGATCCTTGCAAAATCAATGTAAGAGTTGGAGTTGAAAGAATCTAGAGTATAGCATTAAAATACTGTTTGATGCTTTCTTAGTCAGCACGACCGTTACGCCTTGCTAATACTTCCTAAATAATGGAACATTCCGTTTTGTTCGCGTGGAAAAATGCAAAAGACATACCAGAGAGAAAATGAAAGAAAGAAGGGAAGATAGAAAATGAAAGAAAATGTAGAAGGTCATTTTCATGTGTTTAGATTTTATTACGCTTCTAATCATTGCTTTTTTAAACAATAAACATTGCCGAAGAATATCTGCCTATATTTCTGAGATCAGGCATTATGTACACTATTTACATTATTCGGACTATTGTCCTCATCTTTGTCGCCATATTTATCGCAACGTTTCGGCTTTTCTGAGATGAGGTATTATGGACACTATTTACATTATTCGGATTATTGTCCTCATCTTTGCCGCCATATTTATTACAACGTTTCGGCCTTTCAGTGTCTGTCTATATTTCTGAGATGAGGTATTATGTACACTATTTACATTATCCGGACTATTGTCCTCATCTTTGTCGCCATATTTATCACAACGTTTCGGCTTTTCAGTATCTGTTTACATAATGTACATAACACCTCATCTGAGATGAGGTGTTATGTACATTATTTACATTATTCGGACTATTGTCCTCATCTTTGTCGCCATATTTATTACAACGTTTTCGGCCGTTGTACGCTCCGGCCTTCTGAACCTGAACCCTTTGTTTCGCTCACTGGGGTAGACTGTTCTAGTTCCACGTGCCATGTTTAATGGATGTCAGTTATCAGTTACCTCCTGTTAATTTCCCTCTCCAAGTTTTCCACTGCCTTAACTGGGTATTGATCCTGTCACTGGATCTAATCAACGCCTTTATCTACTGTGCCATGTATTCTTGAGGACATCTGTGTATGAATTTCTGGGTATTATAAACCTAATGTCATCAGCAACCTTATTTAACAGTGCTCATATTGCAATTTTTGCTGTTATCATTGCACGTTTTTTTTACCAGAGCTCATATTACCGAGCAGTTAATGTAGTTAAATAATAGAGGCGTCAAAGCAAAAACGTTTTTTTTTTTTTTTGGACACCGTTTTTTTTTTTTTTTT